GTTTGAGAATGTCCGTGTTTAAGTGTCGTACCCAAAGAACTTGCCTGGTTCCTACTCCTAAAGCCATGTACTCTGCTTGACAAGTTGAGGCTGCTATTGTGGCAAAACGTCTTGACGTCCATAGAACTGGGCATCCGAAGAAAGTTACCACGATTCCGTAAGTAGATTTGGCAAACTCACCTCCCCAAGACGCATCACAGAAACATTTCAGAGGCTTTGGAAGATCGTCTGGAAAAAGGTTGAGGTAGAGATCGCGTGAATCAGCCAGATAACCTATGAGATGTTTGACACCTTTCCAATGATTAGTCCCTGGTTGTGCTGAAAAACGCGCTAGTAGGTTCACGGCGAAAGCTATGTCGGGCCGGCTTCCAACCGCAAGGTAGCTGAGTGAGCCTATGATGGAGAGATATTGAGTCGAGGTACTCTTGTCACCGGAAGGGTCAGTAATCAATTCAAGGGAGGTAGGAAGTGGAGTCTTGTGGGTAGTGTAGCCATCCCAGTGCGCGTCAAGAATCTGATTGATGAGCTTTGGTTGTCGTAAACTAAAACCTTTCTCGGATCTCCTGACTTCGAGACCCACTATTGAGTTTAGGCCATCAGTCCATTTGATCTTAAGCATACCTTTCAGACCATCCTCCAGAGACTTGAGTAGTTCGGTGGAAGATCCAGTCACTATCCCATCATCAACATGTACCCAGACAACTCCTTTTTGATTGCGGTGTTTGACGGTATATAGACTGTTGTCGTATTGGCTTGCTTCAAAACCGAGGCTTTCCAGGACGTTCTTAAGGTGTAGCCACCAGCACCTCGCTGCCTGTTTCGTCCCGTAGAGTGCCTTGTGTAGTAGCATGGCTTCACCTGGTTTGACCTTGAGCCCTTCAGGCGCCTCGACCCACACTTCTTCGTCGATGGGAGCATTCAGATATGCTGCCACAAAATCAAAGGAGTAAACTGGCCAGTTAAATTTAGCTGCCATGGTTAGTATGAGTCTCATGGAAACAAAAGTTGCTGTTGGTGCAAAAGTGGATTCATAGTCTAGACCTAACACTTGTGTGAATCCTTTTGCGACATATCTTGCCTTGAAACGAATCACTTCTCCAGCCTCGTTGGTTTTCTCCGCAAAAACCCATTGACCTTTCAGAGGTGTGCGGCCTGCTGGAACTGTTCGGACCGACCAGACCTTCATGTCGTCCAAGTTCTTGAGCTCCTCATTGATGGTGGTCTGCCAATTTGCCCAAGCCACTGATTTTTGAGCCTGTTTGAAAGTCTTCGGAACTGTTGCTGCATAGAAAGCACACTCTAGAAGTATTCTGTCGCTGTTAAGGTCTTGACTCTCAAAAGTTAGTTCATCCTGAAAATTCCATGGCTCCATTTGGTTGATGATGAAAGATACATCATGCC